GTAGACACCAGACATGCATTTTTCCAACACAATCCCACACAGCTGTAAGAGCCACTTAAGTAGACGGGAACTCCCAAGGCAGAATTACACGCACAGGGCAAAGTTGAAACTTGAACACATCGACAGTCCTGGTGAATGCCGGGAGCACCAGGTGCCCTCTCACCCTCACCAGCAGGAGGGAGGAAGGAAATCAAGCCAAAGTGAAGGAAGGCGTCTACCAGAAAAAGGAAATTACAAGAGAAACTTATTTGCATAACAACATATAAAAAGGTTGGACAAATATAACTTTGTGACCTAGAAAACAAATTATAGCACACAGATTCCTGGAAAAGTCTCCTGCTCAACATAACTGCAATGAGCAAAACCACATTTCTCCCCATTGCCACATTTCCTGGTGTATGCTCTTCCCGTTTTGCAACTCTGTGAATTTTATGACATAAGGAATGGTGGTGGGGGCAGGGTCTTTTCTTCTTCTTCTTCTTCTTTTTCAAACCCTACTTATGATTAAACACCCAAAACAACTTAATTCTCAAACTGGAAAATCGTCATTAAAAGCAACGGAAATGTAGAATTTATATGGTGGTTATCTGTGTCCCACTAGTTCCACACTCATAAGCAATGTCGCATGCTCTATAAGAAACAGGTCTCCAATAGCCAGCTCTGGCATGTGATGACATCTAAATCCGTAACCTAAGCCTGAAGGTCCACAAGTGGCTTCAAGTGGAAGAGAAAATGGAAGAAAGCATGCCAGACAGGAAGATAAACATGATTTCTACTGGTTACTAAAACCTCCAATTACCAAAATCTTGCAACTTCTATACAAATGTTTACAACTCAAATATTTACAAATACCAAAAAAAGTTTATCAAAAGCAAAGCAAAGTTTGGACAAAGGAGATATCACTCATAGAAAGCAATAACCACTTACATGGCTACAGACATTAGACATTGGGTTGATAACTGAGAGGTCGTCAATTCAAATCCACCAGCTGCTCAATCAGAGAAAGTTGAGACTTTCTGCTCCCATTAAGATTGACAACCTTGATGGCC